CCGACTTACATTTTGTTGTTATTATAATTCAACTGTCTTACTAGTGCCACGGTCACAGGTAACAAAACAAAACAAAAAAAAAAAAGTTTTTTTTTTTTTTAACGGCCTTTATGTAATCGTTTCGTTTTTATTTTTTATTTTTTTGCCTTGTATCTAATATTTAAATATTTATTTATTTGAAAAATTTGTTTGCTACCACTTCTTCCCCCTCTCTCTCTATCCTTTTTTTTTTCAAGTGAAAATTTCAAAACGTAATTTCATCAATTTTTTTTCTTTTTTCGAAATAAAAAACGTTTGACAAAGAAATAACAAACAAACAAACAACTAAAAACAGGTGGGGGAAGTGGCAGAAGAATTGAATTTTCATGTCAAACTGTAGCAACATCCGGTTTTTTTCATTTTGCGTTTAAACCCCAAAAAAAAATGAATATTTAAAAATTTTTTTATTTTTTCGTAATTATTTATTTATTTATTTAGGGGATTTATGGTCGACGAATGATAACTTTTATTAATTAATAATTAATTAATTAATTAATTAATATTTTTTTGAATTTATTAAATAATTATTAGTTATTAACGTAATAAAAATTATTATTTAAAAAAAAACTATTACGTAATTTTTTTTTGTAGAAAAAAAACCCGATAACGTTTATTTTTGACGTTATTAATCATATGTTTACACCATGTTTTTTTTTTTAAATTGCAAAAAACATAAAATTATTATTATTATTATTATTATTATTATTATTATTACGTACCTGAATTTAATTGAGATTTGATATGTGATATTTATATGTTTCAAAAGGTATTATTATCATCATCATCATTATTTCGGATTAATATTTATTAAATGCCAAAGGAATAAAAATTTAAAAAAAAAAATTTCGGTTAATTATTTAAAAAAAGTTTTCAAGGTCAAAGGGTTCATTTTTCATTCCTTTTAAATTTTATATAAAAATTTTCTTTAAACCTTTTTTTAATGGGGGGAGGGAGAGGGGGAAGGTTACTCGATAAATTGGAAACGAAAAAAAATATTTTCCAAGCATAAAATTTATTTTTTATTTTTTTATTTTTATCGGGAAAGAATTTTAAAGCGGAAAAGAGAAAAGGGGAAAAAAAACTTCTTCTGCCACGACAAATTTAATGCGAAAAATCGCATTAAACGACCGACGTCGCATAAAATTTTTTTTTTACATGTGGAATTTAATTAAATGATTACAAAACGTGTCACGTTTTGCGGCGGAGGAATAACCAGAATTTCTTAAGCAATTGTGTTTGTGATTCACACGATCGTGGTAAAAACCAACCGTATCCGGTGAAAACGAAAGAAAAACCAGAAAAAATTTTTTTAAAATTGGGGGGACACGACGAGTAGAAAAAGTAAAACACCGCCCCCTCATCTTTCACCCTCCCCCTTCCGTTCGCGCCATTTTGTAAAACAAAACAAAACGATATATTAAATTAATATTATCATTCAATCCCAAAAATTTTGTTTTCGTCTTCTTCTGACACGACTTACGTAAAACGAAAGAAAAACCAAAGAAAAAGGTTGAAATTTTTTAACGTACCCAATTTTTTTTCGGTATAGATGATATCACGAGGTAACGTGGCAGCAGAAAAATAAAAAAAATGAAACGGAGTAGGAGAATCCGTAATACTCGAAGGGGAATGGAAAGGGGGAAAAAATTTAATAATAATAATTATGTAAGTTTTAAAAAAAAAAAGTAGGAGAAGGATTCGTCATGGTGATGATGTTGTATACAACCCTACAGGTTTTCAGGTTTTTTCGTGACGTAACAACAACAAAAACAAAGAAAACAAAAAAATCTTTAGTTATTTTATTTAATAATTATCTAAACTTGGGCGAAACATTTTTTTTCTGTTTTCTTACCATTATTATTATCATCATTTTTTTAAAAATATGGTTCTCCGTAAGGGCAATGCCTGACTGACTGGAGGAGATGATGAAGGTCTCCCCAAATGGTAAAAACAATGTATGTCATTAAGTATTTAAACTATGGTTTGTCAATATTGTTCCAGAAGTCGATTAGACTTTAGTGAATTAACTTTAACCTAAAAGTTTGACTAATATGTCTTCTATTACCGTAAGTTTTTTCTTTTTTTTTTTTTCTAAAAGAAAATTTCGATTAAAAAATTTTTTTTTTTGGGGGGACGGGAGCTTCTGTCGTAAATTGTTTTTTTTTTTTGTTAAAAAAATTCGCATTTTGATTCAAAATGAAAAAAAATTTTAAATTTTTATTATTATTATTTTTTTTACTACTTGCTATTGTGTGTCGTGAATTTGCATCGAGAATAATAATGATAGTAAAGGAAAAAAATCTTTTGTCATGGAAAAAAAATGATGATGATGATAATAATAATGAATTTTTTTCCTTTTTTCTCTTCGAAGCGGGGTTTTTTTTTTAATACGATGCGAATTTAAATCATCGCCATTTTTTTTTTTTTCATTTTTCAATTTTTTTTAAACTTTAAACCTTTTTAGTGAAAAATTATTTTGTTATAAAATATTTTTTAAAAATGGCGGGAGAAAAATTATTTAAAATCGTAAGTCATTTAAATTTTTAAATTTTTTATCAGCGATTTATTTATCGAAAAAAATAAATTTAAAAATGGCGGCGGTGGAGAAGTTTTACTTTTTCCTTTCCGTTTGAATTTTATGTTTTTCTTGTTTGTTATTCGATTCAGAGTTTTGTTCTTTTTATGATGGTCGCACTTTCCATGTGCGAACCGGATTCAAAAACTGCTAAATCTGGAGATTTAGCAACAGCCGAATCTGCATTTATCGGAAGCGCATTTGGAGGATATGGTGGATTCGGAGGATACGGCGGATACGGAGGTTATACCGGTTTAGGCGGATACGGTGGATACGGTGGATACGGTAAAGGTTTCGGAAGATACACAGGCTATGGTGGTTACTCCGGTTTGGGTAGTTATGGAGGCTACAGCGGTTTGGGTGGTTATGGTGGCTATGGAGGTTATAGCGGGTACGGAGGCTACTATCCGGGTGGTTACGGAAGAGGTTACGGTGGATATGGTGGATACGGCGGATACGGAGGGTAAATTTTAAAAAAATTTTCACCCTTATTTTTTTTTATATTTACAATTAAATAATTATTTGTTTTTTTAAAAATTAATTTAAGATACGGACGTGGTTACGGTGGATATAGAGGTTATGGCGGATACAAAGGATACTGGTGATTTCATGTAAAATAATAATAATAATCGACTGTCTTTCAATTTATCCGGGTTTTGTATAAAAAAAAGAAAAAAAAAAATCCTCTCGAACGTTCCGAAGAAAATTTCATAAATTTTTTTTTTTTACTTTTTCAAATTATTTAAAAAAAAAAAAAAAGGAAATGACGCCACGTAGATTTTTCTATGTATATTTTTTTATTTCTACTTTTTTTTTATTAATTTTGAAAATGTAAATTATTTTTTTTACTTGTATAAAACGAAAAATAAATAAAAACTTATTTTTTTTTTTAATAATTAATATTTATTTAAAAGAAAAAAAAAATTCCCCCGGAAAATGTTTACAACAAAACGTTTTTTCTTATGGTTAAAAAAAATCAATTTTCATAACACTTTTTTATTTTCGTAACTTCATTGCGTTCGTAAGTAATACCTTAAAATTTTTTTAAGAAAACCTGAAAACGACTGGAGAAAAAATTTTAAAAAAAAAAATTTGAAAAAAATATTCGGTAAACCTTTTTTTTCAACGCATATAAACATTACAATTTGCCTATACTAATTTTTTACGGGCGGAATATTTTAAATGCGTAAATTCGCTGAAAATTCAGTCGATTACAAAAAAAAAGAAAAACATCGGGGGAATGTTTGCAAATTCAAACGGGATGACCGGAAAAAGGGGGATACCCGATTTAACCCCAGGCTACAAACGGAAATGGAAAATGTTGTTATACATCATTTCGATTAAATAACTCAACTCAAATTGCTTATTTGGATGTTAACGTATACAAATTTATTCGATGCATCAAAACCTTAAATTTTCGACACACATATTAAATGAAAATTTTTTTTTTCTTTAACTTAATAAGAAAACCAAGCTTCCTTTGTAAGTTTTCCTTTTTTTGAAATTTTATTTCCTTTGATTGTTTTATAAAAAAAAAAAAAACGTCGTCGGGAATTTACGCAGTAAGTTAAATTGAGGCGACGTAAAAAAAGAAAAATTTCAAAACAACTTAAATCTTTAGTCGATTTCTTATTCAATCTCATTTAAATTATTATTATTATTATTATTATTATTATTATTATTATTAACATAATAAATTCTACGCACGTAGAGTTAAATAAAAAAAAAAAGGGGGGGGAGACAATAGCTTCTGAAAAAAAAAATTAAAAGGCGTAAACTCATACTTGTTTACGTAAAATTAACGTCAATTTTTTTTTTTTTAACGATTGCCAACAAAGAAACGTAAAAGCAAAAAAAAAATTTAAACAATATTTTAATGGGTCATTAACCCATATACGAAATCATAAAATAAAGTAATAATAATAATAATAATAATAATAATAATAATAATAATAATAAATAATAAATAAAAAGGGAAACATTCGGTAATTAATTTAAGGATAATTGATAAATTAAAATTTTTACGATTATGAAACCTGTTATCAAATGAAAAATAATCAAACGAAAGGGGAGTGGGAAAGGGGGAAAAAGGTACTTTCTAATGCCACGTAAAAATTAAAAATATACGTAATAATTTTCTTTATGTAAAAAAAAAAAAAAATTTTTTAAATAAATAAAATTTATTAATTAAATCAAAATCGCATTAAAAAAAAAAATATATAAAAACTAAAATAAATAAAAAAAAATAACTCACACGCAGAAATTATTGTTATTGTTATTATTATTATTATTTCATCGTTTAATGGGTCGTATAATAATAATTATTATTATTATTTTTTATTTAATTTCCAAAATTCCATAGAACGTTAGTTGATAAATAAATTTATTACATGGTTTCTTTATTTTCTTTTTTTTCTGTGACTTCTTCGAAAAGGAGCCAAAGCGTTACGATCAAACTCACTCCAGCCAAAACAACGTTCATGAATATTTCGATAAAAATTTCGAGTATCGTAGCATATATCGTTATCATTTTTCGACTTTTAAATTTTGTAAAATATTTTTCGTATGGAAAATTCGTTAATGAATTTTGTAATTTTTGATTTGATATTATCAGTGTTATGAAAACAAACAACGTGCACATGAATACGGTGAATGCCGGACGATAAACTATGCAATAATTTATATAAGACGTTACATTTTTAACTACGTCAATCGGTACGGTTAAAATCTACGGGTAAAAAATTATCATCACATTATTAATTATTATCATTATTATTATTATTAATTAAAATGTCAATTATACTCTTAACCCATGCATAACGAGTGCAAAAAAAAAATACGATATTAATATTAAAACAAAAAACTCACCGAAATTTTTGTCACAGGAGATTTTAATATTTTTTTACCCATTTTATTGTGTTATTATTATTATTATTTATTTATTATTATTCGATTATTTATTTGGTTAAATAAAAAAAAAAATTTGTTTGTTTTTTCTAAAAAAAAAACTTTTGATTTTTATACGGGAGCAACAGCGGCAGCAACAGGAGCAGGAGGATCAAGCAGGAGGACAAGCTGGAGCAGCAAAACAAATTTTTTTTTTTTTATAAATATACAAAAAAATAAATAAAAAATTTCACATTGATGTGCTTGGCAGGAGAAAAAAAAACAAAACAAAACAAAAACAAACAAACAAACACAAAATTTGATGATGATTTTAATGATAATTTTTTTGAATTTGTTTACAAACAAACAAATTTTTCTTTTTTTTTTTTTTTTTGAATTTTTGAATTTTTTTTCTGGAAAATTTTTTCTCGAATTATAATATAAATTAATAAGTAATAATTTGCATTTAATAATAATTAATTAATGAATTATTATTAATTAATAAAAAATTGTTAATAAATAAATTCCAAAACGTTCCATGTTCAAATTTTTTTTTTGTAAACTCGTTTTGGATAAAATATTTATTTATCTACCTGATTTGATAACAAAAGTTTTGATTACAAACGAAAGTGTTTGATAATAGCTGCATTTTTAATAATTAATTTAAAATCGATTGATTTTTATTATTATTATTATTATTATTAATTACTTAATTGTTTGTTATATCGAGGATTCTACGCTATTTCGATAAGAAACGATTAGATCAATCATTAGTAGGTGAAAGAAAGAGAGAGAGAGAGAAAAAAATTAACGAGGTCATTTAAAAAAATTCAATTTCCCCCCATAAATTCAATAATAATAATAATAATAATAATAATAATAATTTTTAAATTTCCTGCGAAAATTTATATAGAGTTGAATGAATTTTACTGACCTTGAACTTCGTAAAAAAAAAAAAAATTAATTTTTTTACTAATCGAATACAAACAAAAACAAAAAAAAAATTTTCAAACGGTTTGCCTTGATTTGAGGCCAAACGAAATAATGTAAATAATAATAATAATAATAAAATTTATGTTGTCGTAGGCTTTTGAAATCAAAATGGCGGACGGATTGCGGATGGTTATTTCAATAAAAAAAAAAAATTTCGTTCGATAAAATTTTCTTTTTTTTTTAAATAAAATATTTTCGAATGTTTCTTCTTCTCCTCTCTCTCTCCTCCCCCATCCAGCCCCCCGAAAAAATACGTAAACATTTTCATCGTTTCGTATAAATCTTTTAATTTAAAAAAAAAATTATCTAAACGAGTTTTTACGGCGTTAATTAGGTCAATAGGTCACGAGAAATTTTTTTTTTTTTACTCAATTCGAATGTGAATAAATTTTTTTAAATTTTAAAATTTTCCCTCCAAAATGTGGGGGAAAATTTAAAATTCGAGGATTTTTATTAATAAATTTTTAAAAAAATATTTTTACGTAAAAAATAAATAAAGTAAAATAAAAAAACGTTGTCTGCTAGCTAAATAATTTAGTTTGATGTTTTCCTTATCACGGTCATGCGCATTGGAAAACAATCGTTCAAGACTCGCGCTCTCTATCACACGGTTTTTAGTGCCAATGGGAATCACGGGGGATGACAAGGATAAAATTTTTTTTCTTCCTTTTTCTTTTTCCTTTTCTTTTTTTTTTTTCTTTTTTTCTTACACAACGTTCGACATTTCAATATTTTTTCAATGAATAAAGTATTATTATTATTATTTAAAACGTAAACGGTATTAATAAACGCACTGGGGAAAATATGAACGATGATAAAAGGGATTTGACAGAATCTACAGGTCCTGTATCAATTATCAGTACATCAGATGATGGTACGACGACAGACAGAACGACTCTTAATCGCTCACAAATTCATTCCAGGGTAAGTTTTTTTTTTTTCTTTTTCATTTCCGTTTCCTTTCTTTGTTTTTTTTTTTTTTTTTTTTTTTTTTTTGTAAAACGGAAATCGAATGATTTTTTCATCGTAAACATGAAAAACCAAAAACATACCGTAAACGTGTGATTTTTCAAAACAAAAAAAAATACGTTATGTTTTTTATCGGTGACGTCATAACAACTGGAAAAATTTTTTATTTCACAGAGTAAATAAATCGATTTTTAAAATTTTCATTCAAAAATTTCGCAACGGAGGCGATATAACCACGTGCTTAAAAAGAAAATTCTTTTTTTTGTTTTGAGTTTTGTTTAATTTTTTACTAAAACCACGTGTCTTTTATAACTTTTTTTTCCTTTTATTTCTTTTTTTTTTTTTTAAAGAATTATTAATAAAAATTATCGATAAATAAATAAATTTTTTGTTATTAAATAAAGAATTTTATAAAATCGATAAATCGACGTGGTTTTTGTCTCGACTACCATAAACATTATCGCGTGATTATTGTTTTTTTTTTGTTTAAAAACAAAACGAATGCCGTGTCAATAAGTAAGTTTTGTTTGTGTAATAATCATCAATGCAACAGATAATGCAATCCAATCCGTGTTTCAATGCCAATACAAATTCGCGCCACGAAATTACGTCATCACTTCTTCATTTTCTTTTGTTTGCAAATTATCAAACAGGTACAAAGAAAAAAAACATTTTTACAGATTAATGAGAGTCGTGGAACTTATTTCAAACACCTTGTGACACGTTCTTATCATCGTTTTAAATAAAATTTATTTTTAAAAAAATTAGTTAAAATTTATTTAAAAATCTTTTCGATTAATTATTATTCACTTTAAAATAATTTTTTAATTATTTCCAATGAACTTGACTGACTGTCGAAATAATCTTTATTTGATAAGATGTAACGTTAATAATATTAATAATGATAATGATAGTAACTAAAAAATTTTTAATTGGGTAAGATTATTAACGGAAGTTCTTTGTCGATAATCCATCGTATCGAGTTACGACATTTTAGCGTTTCGATAAACCTTCCGGAAAAATCGTAATAAAATTTTTCACGTTTGTCATGACGTATTTCCTTTTTTTTTTCATTTACCAGAATTCGGATACTCGATTGTATCGAAAAAGATGGCTCATGCTTTTCATATTCGTACTTTATTCGACATCGAATGCACTCCAGTGGATACAATATTCCATAATATCAAACGTAATAACAAAATATTATAACGTGACGTCATATTGGGTCGATTGGACGTCCATGATTTACATGATCACGTACATTCCATTAATATTTCCAGCATCTTGGGTTTTAAGTAAATACGTAAGTACTACTGTATTAAATAAACGGTGATGATGATGATAATCTCCGACGTAATTGTCCTAACGATTTAAACCAATAAAACAAACACAAACAAACAAACGACAGGATTTTTTAATACGAGTCATAATAATTTTTGACTGTCATTGTTTTAAATCCTTTTCAAAGTCATTTAAAAAAATTTTGCTTATCGATAAATGACCGTCTTCCTGTTGTTGCTGTTGTTGTTGTTGTTTAACAACCAATTTATTTTGTTTTTTTGTTTGTCACCTTCATTAATCGTAGTGAAATAAATTACTCGTTTAATTAAATTATTATTATTATTATTATTGTAGGGGTTAAGAACGGCTTGTATAATAGGAGCTACTGGAAATTGTTTAGGTGCCTGGATAAAAGTAGCTTCCGCGGATCCCGGTATGTTTAATGTTACTTTCATCGGACAAACGATTGTTGCTGTTTCTCAGGTTTTTGTTTTGAGCGTTCCGGCACGTTTGGCTGCTGTTTGGTTTGGTGCCGATGAAGTGTCCAGCGCGTGTTCGATTGGAGTTTTTGGCAATCAGGTACGTTTTTTTAAGTTCTTTTTTTTCGGCAACCAAAAATCCCAACGTAAATTAAAGACATAAATGAAAGAATGGAAAGAAAAGGAAAATTTTAAATCAAAGCATTAAATTTAAATATTAAGTCGTTACAACCGATTTGTCCGCCATATTGTTTTCATCAACCACGTGATATGAAACTTTTGAAATTTTTTTTTTTAATGATAAAACTTCAATCGTTTTATTTTTATTTATTTTTATTAAATTTAATCAATTTTATAGTCGTGGTTCTCCAATAAAATTCCAGGTTGAATTTCCAGCAAAAAAAAAAAAGCAAAAACATTTTTTCATAATTTTTTTTTTTTTTAAATAATCAAAGTCGAATAAGAAAATTTTTTTTCAAATTTTTTTACTTACCATTAAATCAAAATAAATTTTTTTGAAATTATTATTATTATTAATATTGTTTATAAATAAATAATTTATTTATTTATTTCTACGTCTTTTCGACGACCTTAAAACGAAGGCAAACGAGTTTATAAAAATATTTAAAATGTTAATAAAAAAGTTTCCCGTCATTTAAAAAAAAAAAAAAAATTTAAATTTTGTGTCATAGAGTAAATAAAATAAAATTTTTTACAAAAATTCAGTTAAAAATTTAAAATATTTTCCCGCGTAATTTTAAAAATGAAAATAAAGTACAGGTTAGTTACGTTTGTTTGTTAGTCGTCGTACATAAAAAAAAAAAAATTTTGTTTTTAAAACTGGGAAATAATTTTTTTTTAATTATTTTTTTTTTTTTGCTGTTGCTTCCTTTTAATAAAATTTTTGTAGAAAAAAAAAGCGGAAGTTGTTTGTTTCCTTTGATTTTATTCACGTTTTATTTTGATAACGTGAAAAATCTGATAAGAATTTTTCTTTTGACATTTTTTTTTCAGTAAGGCATTTTCTTTTTTAAAAAGATAAATAAAAGAAAGGATTATCTCCTGGAGATATACTTAAATGAAAAAGATTAAATACTTGTTGTTTAGATCGATGTACATCAGGCTGTAGTCTCTCTTTCTCTCTCTCTTTCCCTCTCCCCTCTCTCTCTCTTCCCCCCATCAGGAATTCAATTCCGGTCGACGACATTGTTATTATATGCCATAAAAAAATAAAATTCTAAAGAATTTTTCCGGGCAAGTAGTATTAATTTTTTTTTTAAAAAAAGGTGGAAAAAAAAAAACATAAAATTTCAATTTACTTTTTTTGAAATAATAATAATAATAATAATAATAATTTTTCAATAAAAACCTTTTTTTTTTTGCTGTCGTAAAATAGAAGTTTTATTTTTTCTTTCTTTGTCCGATATTGAATTCGATATATATCGATTCTTTTCGATAAAATGTCAAATAATTTTAAATTTAAACTTTTCCATATATTTAATTACTTTTATTATATTTGTGTTGATAATAATTTCTTATCATTTTCCAAAAACCTTAAATTCTTATAAACAAGACGTCCAAAAGTTTTTTTTTTTTTTGAAGGGAGGGGCGCTTGCAAAAGTTTCAACCCTCTATTTGTAGCCTCCCCAATGCTTCGAAAGGGTACTAGATCTCCTTTTTTTTACTTTATGACGATACAGGTCTGTCTCTACTTCACGGCCTGGAACTGAACTCTGACTCCCATGATTTGAATTCGTAGCCTCCAGCACGAAACCTCTTCCTCCTCTCCCAACCTGAGGACCTTAGGATACCCACAGACATTTATGTTGATGAATGGACGAGACGTTCTAGCCTAAAATTTCGGAGAATTTTTTTTTTCTCCAGACTTTGGAAAATTTTACTCAGATAGACAATTAATTCGTTGGAAATTGTTTGTCTTAATTATATTTGTCTTTATTTAAATATGTTTTTTCTCTCTCTCGCCCCTCCTTTTGTCTTTTCTGCTTTTTCTTTCTCCTCCTCCTTTTGTCTTTTCTGCTTTTTCTTTCTCCTCCTCCCTTTGTCTTTTTCCACTCGCTCTGTTTTGTTTCACTTTCCCTCTTTATCTGTCTCTCTCTCTTTCTTGTCTTTTTCTGCTTTTTCTGTTTTATTTCACTCTTCCCCCCTCTCTCTCTCTAACTTTCGTCTTTTTGTTCTTTTCTTCTTATTGTTTTTTGTTTTTTAACTTATTTTATTTTCTTCCCACATTTTCTTTAATTACTCTGTCACTTCATCCAACTTGAGAACTCAAAATGTGGTTGATTAAAAATAAATTTTCTTTTGATTTCTTTTGTTTAAAAAAAAGTTGTTTTTTTTACTTTTCATTCACAAGTAAAAACCTGGAGAAGAAAATAACCAAAAAAAAAAAAAATTTTTTTTTATTCTCCAGAATTTCAACACAAAAATTTACGTTAGTATTCAGTAAAAATCCATTAAATTCGACATTATCAAAAACAAACTTTTTCCCATTCGCTGAAAACTAAAAGTTTAGTTTTCTTTTTTAAACTTTTAGTGTCTTAGTTTTGGTATCTTAGTTTTAGTATCTTTTTTTTTTTTTTTTTTTTAGTAAAAGATAAACTAAAAGGAAACAATTAATTTTTGTTACAGCTTGGCATCGCACTCGGTTTTTTATTTCCACCAATGATTGTGAGAGATCACGAAGATGTCGATTTAATAACGAGAGATTTAAAATTTTTATATTATTCAATTGCCGTTTTCACGAGTTTTGTGTTCATATTAATTCTCGCCGGTAAGTTAAATTAAATTAAATCGATATATCGTAGAGGTAAATTTCTTACTCCAACCGTCGGAAAATTTTCCCCTCGCGTCCGTTATTTAATAAAATTAATTTTTCTTTTTTCTTTTTTTTTTGTGTTAAACAATCAAGCATTCCAAAGTGCTCCATCGCTTCCTCCGAGTAGAGCACAAGCTTCCAGACTGGAGGACGAAAGTTCATTTTCATCATCGATGCAAAAATTATTTTTCAATCGTGGTTACATGCTCCTTTTAATTTCATACGGAATAATGGTCGGAGTTTTTTATGCCATATCAACACTTTTAAATCAAATAATTCTCCAGTTTTTTCCGGTAAGTTCCAGTTAAATTTTATCATTCTGTACATAAATATTTTTGCGATAATCGTTTGTTTTTTTTTTTTTTTAATTTTTTGCACAATTTTTTGTACGACGACATATTAAATTTTCAACTCCCCCAAAAAGAAAGGGGAGGAGGGAAGAGGAGGAGGGAAAGGAGGAGGGGGAAATTATCGTGTGAAAATTTTTTTCAGTTTTTTTTTTTTTTTTCAAAATTTGCTTTTTGCTTGATGCACACTCAGCACTTTTTTTTTTCTTTTTTTTTTTTTTTTATTTGGTTGGTTTTTCTGTCGTGATGAAAAACAAAAATTTTAGGGACACGAATTAGATGCTGGAAGAATCGGTTTGACGATTGTTGTTGCTGGAATGTTAGGTTCAGTTCTATGCGGATTTATACTCGATAAAACGCATCATTTTAAGTAAGTATTATTATTCCTTAGCACACATTTTTTTTTACACTTTTTTTATTATTATTATAAATAATAATGCTTTTTTTCCCGTAGTCAGTCATTTTGTTTTTTTTTTTTAAACACCAAAAGCACATACGCGTAAATTTCAAAAAAAATGATAATTTAAATTTCTTTTTTCTTTTTTTAGGTACGTAACTCTTGGCATTTATTGTTTGTCTTTTCTCGGAATGTTGTCCTTCATGTTCACCATCGATTTGGGAAGTATCGTGTTGGTGTATGTGGTGAGCGGTGGCCTCGGGTGAGTAGAAATTTTCTTTTATTAAAAATTAATAATCGTTTTAAAAAATAAATAAAATCTTTTTTTTATTAATAGTTTTTTCATGACCGGTTATCTTCCTGTCGGTTTTGAATTTGCCGCCGAATTGACATATCCGGAACCGGAAGGTACGTCTGCAGGTTTGCTCAACGCATCATCTCAAGTAAGTTATATTACCATTTATAACTTTTATTAAGTGTTTTTTGTTGTTAATATTTATTAATTTATGAAAACAGGTATTTGGAATAATATTCACGATATTTTATGCTCATCTTTACAAAGATTACGGACAAAGAATTTCTGATGGCGTCATGAGCGCATGTTTAGCATTGGGATTCATAATGACTTTAATGATACGTGAAAATCTTAAAAGACAAAAAGCTCGTTTGAAAACTACAACGGCAGCAACAAAAAATATCAAAACGTAAAATTTCCTTTTTTTTCCTTTTATTAAACTTCCTTTTCCATTTCCGCCATTTTGTATTTTTATCTTTGAAAATCAACTTTAAAATGTGTTCAAATTTAAATTTAACAACAGGTAAATTATTAATTTCAATTTCCCTTTACCCTCATTTTCGTTTTTTTTTTTTTTTTTTTTTTTATTTTTTCCTTTTCGTTCCTTTGTCCTTTTTTTTCCTTTTCGTTCCTTTGTCCTTCTTTTTCCTTTTACGTTTAAAATAAAAAAAAAAAAATGGCACGCCGATTGTGTGCCTTGATTTTGAATGTACAATTTTATCGTACGATCGTTCCAGACTTGAATTTTAAATTTTTTATTAAAAAAAAATTTAATTAAAATTCGGTACTGCCAACCGTTGTTTGTGATGTAAAAAAAAAAAAAAAAATTTCAACGGTTAAATGTCAAGTTCAATAATGATAATAATAATAATAATGGTAAAATTTCACGCACGTTATCGCACGTGTTATTTATTTATTTTTTGTGTTGTTGTTATATGATCGTATAAAAATTTTATTTATTTATATTTATGTACATAAATATATATATATTATTAAAATGTGAAATTATTTTTTTAAACAAATTATATCGATGAGTTAAATAATATATATATCTTTATATTTGTTTGTTGGTCGATTATATAAAATATCTATATTGTAAAATGTTTAAAAAAAAAAAATTTTTAAACAATAGTGACGTCATAAAATAATTAGCTATAGTAGTAGTAAAAAGATACGCAATCGATTTGTATTAATTCTTTTTTTTTTTGTCAAAATGGCGGCGACATATCATTTTGGCGCCGTTGATAATTTTTACTTTGTGTTTGAAAGAAGAACTAGAAAAAATACCTGTGATTAATTTAAGATACGTTTGAAGAGGAAGGGGGGGGCGAAATTTTTTTTTTGTAACATTTTTCATTTTGCTTGTTTTTTACGTCATCGTTAAATCAAACGTATGCGATTGATATTCCTGGGGGGAAGGGAGGGGAAAATGCGCACAACGAGCACACTTACACGTGTACATGAATGTTTTGCCTTTACAAAAAAAATAAAAATTATTTGAAACCTTTTTCTTATTTATTTATTTTTAATTCGTGCGAACGATATTAAATCGATTATTATGTATTTGCGCGTGTGTGTGTGCGCGTGCGTGCGTGTTATATGTATACATAAATAATATTTTACTAAAAAAAAAATAAATAAATAAAATTTTATTTTAATCATGCTCAATTTAAATATTGTTTATTTTTAACATAAGAATTTTTTGTGTTTTTTTTTTGTTTTGTTTTGTTATCATAATCCAGGTGATTATGTGAGGAGGTTTTATCGTTTTGATAATAATAATAATAAAAACAATTAAATGAGTTGACATGCACTTAAGTCATGTCAACTTATTTAATTAATTTTAATAGTTTAATTTTATAATTTAAGTTATAAGTTATACATCAAAAGTTTTGTAATTTAGTCTAAATTGTTTTATATCTGATATCGCAAGGAGATCAAGCGGAGGAGTGTCGACCGAAGACAAGCCACCTTCACAGCGACATCTCTGTACGCCGTCGCAGGTCCGTGCGCAGTTTTGTATGATCAAGAAATCCACACTGACATCCACACCAGCCAACAAACCGGATATCATCCTGAGGCATAATGCGGTGTAAAGTGACTGAAGTATCCGTACTGGCAGAAAAAAACACGAGACAGCCAAAGAAGCAGACAAAAAGCTGAAGTACAGAAATTTAGAAATTAAAATAGCCAGGTTGTGGGGAACGAAAACAGAAACTATTCCGGTCATCGTGGGAGCACTGGGAGCCATGCCATTGTAATTCAATCGATCGAAGCAAATAATTTTTTCTGAAGATTTATTTTATTAATTTACTGAGTTTTTTTTTTTTTAAATAATAATAATAAAAATTACGCATTAAAAAAAATAAAAGAAAAAAAATTTGATATAGTATAAATTGTAATGTATTTATAACTTAAACTTTATAATAAATAAATGTATTAAAAATCAAATTTTTATTTATTTATTGATTTATTAAATATAAAATCTCCGTACACCTGATTTTAAATGTACACCTCCTTTTTCTTATGATTGGTTGATACATTTTAACGTATTTTGCGATTTAATACCAAAAAACGTAAACAAAAACAATAACAACGCCAAAAACGTAAACAAAAACAATAACAACGCCAAAAACGTAAACAAAAACAATAACAACACCGAAAAACGTAAACAAACAAAAAAATCCAAAAAACGTAAAAAAAAAAAAAAAAAAAAAAATCCAAAAAATGTAAAGAAAAACAATAACAACACCGAAAAATGTAAACAAAAACAATAACAACACCGAAAAACGTAAACAAACAAAAAAATCTAAAAAACGTAAAAAAAAAAAAAAAAAAAAATCCAAAAAATGTAAACAAAAACAATAACAACACCGAAAAACGTAAACAAAAACAATAACAGTACCGAAAAACGTAAACAAACAAAAAAATCCAAAAAACGTAAAAAAAAAAAAAAAAATCCAAAAAACGTAAACGACGACAACAACAACAACAACTACAGGAGAAGGAAGAGAAGGAGAGGAAGTAGAAAGAGTAGGAGAAGGAGTAGGAGAAGAAGTAAGAGAAGGAGAATGAGAAGGAAAAGAAGGAGAAGAAAGAGAAGGAGAAGGAGAAAGAGAAGGAGGAGAAGGAAAAAGAGAAGGAGAAGAAAGAGAAGGAGAAAGAGAAGGAGGAGAAGGAGAAAGAGAAGGAGGAGAAGGATTTATTAAAATTTAAAAAATTTTTTTTTTTTTTGTGATAACATATCATCAAACATAATTTTTAAATAATTTCGATTGTTTGTTGTTGTTGTTTGTCGGGCAAACAAATGAATATAAAAATTTTCAAAATTCCCTTAAACATGATAAAAAAAAAACAAATCGCGACGTCTGCGTCTTTTTATCATTTCGAAAACTTTTTTAATGCCATCAACCTTAAAGGTTCGAATGATTTTTCCCTTCGGAAAAATTTTTTTTTTTAACCGAACTGTGTGCAACGATTTAAAAAACAATAAATAAATTTATTAAAAAAACGCATTCGTAATTCTCACATCAGTAGATCATAAACCCTAGCCGTCGGCCAACAAACCGTATGTCATCCTGAGGTATAATACGGAAAAGTCCTACGTGGCGTTTTCGTTCGGGGCTCCTCGAAGCTCGGAGGAGGGGGGAGGCAGCCTCCTCGTCCGACGGGCTCCGCGTCGTCCCGCCCCGGCGGAGTCTGAGATCGTTCGACGACGAACGACTCACCGAGTGTCTCGCCGCAGAGGCCTGGAGAGACGAAGTTGCTCCAGGCGCAGGAAGAAGAAGCGTGCACGACATGGCGCGGGGAGTCCGGAACGATCTACGACAGATCTCGGACTCCTGCATGAAAAGGATCGGCTCGCGCTCGAAAACGCGAAAACGGCTGAAGTACTGGTGGACGGACGAGATAGGAGAATTGTGGAAGGAGTCCTGCCTCGCACGTCGCCGGTTCGTCGGCAGAATAAGACATTTGATCAAACGAGGAGGACGCTACGAGGACATCGTGAACGACGACGAACTTGCGCGTTTAAAGGCGGAGTGGAGGGCTTCGCGGGTTCGGGTCCGACGAGCGATATGGAGTTCCAAGAAGGGGTGTTGGAAGGAACTCCTGTGCGAAGCGGATTCGGATCCGTGGGATATGTGACGAACAAACTGAGGGGTTCGTCGGGACCGCTGATAGCCTGCATGACGGAGGAGTTTCTCGCAGAAGTGATCGCAGAGCTCTTCCCTCGAATCGAACCGTTCGCGTTTCCCCCGGTGGATTTCTTTCGCGACGAAATTCGCAACGCCACAGTGACGGAGGGGGAAGTTCGCCTCCTCCTCGACGCGACCTCGAAGTGGCGCTCGGCTCCGGGCCCGAACGGCGTGCATTACCACATCCTCGGCGAGTCCGCCGGGGTGCTATGTGCGCGCCTCTCGGCGCTCTACACCGCGTGCTTTCGAGAGGCGACATTTCCGACTCCATGGAAAGAGGCGAACTTAGTTCTACTTGACAAACCGGGTGGGGATCCAACGACGCCGACCGCGTATCGGCCGATTTGCCTTCTCGACGTAGAGGGCAAGTTGTTCAAGCGCGTGATCGCGTCCCGGATAGACGAACACTTGCAATCAGGAAGAGAGAGGAACGACCTCTCTTCGAATAAGTACGGCTTCCGCTCGACGACCGACGCACTCGACCGCGTGTGCCGTCACAAGTGCGGGACACTTCACCGGTGTGGCGTCGCGATCGCCGTCTCGGTCGACATCAAAAACGCGTTCAACTCGGTACCGTGGTCCTCGATAAGGGACGGACTGGCGTCAAAGTCTGACACAGACTACTTGATGTCCATCATCGGTGCTTTCCTCTCGGAGAAGAAGATCACGTACGAGAAACCGGACGGAACGACGGGAAGGCTTTACGTATTCTGCGGCGTGCCCCAGGGGTCGGTTCTAAGACCGCTCTTGTGGAACATCGCCTACGACTGCGTCCTCACCCAGACCATTCTTTCCGAATGCCTATCGTTGACGTGTTTCGCGGGCAACACCCTGCTGTTCCTTGTGACCGGTCGTAGGTGGGCAGATGCTCGAGAATGTAAGGAAGCGGGACTTAACGCGACGGTGGAGGCCATCCGGGCCATCGGACTTCGGGTGTCGCTGCCGAAAACGGAAGCGTGCGGGTTTCTTAGAGTGCGGAACTCGCGACCACGAGACTTATTTCTATCAACAGACGAAGTTAGAATCGGGGTGGAGTTTCGATCAAGTATTTGGAAGTACACTTTGGCTAGGGTCTGACTTACAGACATCACTTGTCGGTTTTCGGACCGAAAATCTTAGAAGCGAGAGCGATGCCGAACTTGTGCGGACCGCAGGCGAGGGTCAGGAAACTATACGCGACGGTCGTACACTCCGTGGCCCTGTACGGAGCTCCAGTATGAGCCCAGACGGTTTCGGCATCCCCGCTCGACCTCCTGGCAATAGCGAGACTCGTCCTCTATCGCGAACGGGGTCGAAGCGGGCCAACGAGCGTAAACGTCACGTTCGGACGATAAAACTGTGGGGTGCGCGATTCGAGGACGAGAAACATCGTTAAGGCGGCAAAATTGTCGTCGCTTTGGGCCTTCAAGTGAGGGACTGAACGGGGCAGGGTCACAATTCCTTAACCTATCGTTTCGTCCAGATCCTCACGGGTAGGTCACGGGGTTTTCGGCTCGTATTTGGCTCGCATCGGCAGAAAGGAGACGGCGGAGTGTTGGTTCTACGGTGTGCCCGATGATGACGACGAGCACACGGTCGCGATCTGTCCCGCGTGGGACGGCCACAGGCCGTGGCTGGTCAGTGTCATCGGACCCGACTTGTTGGTCTTCGGCCTCGTAAAGGCGTTGCTTCGCGGATCCCAGGAATCGTTCGCAATATCATTTGTTTCTATTTAGTGTTATTAGGCTGTAAAAAAAAAAAAAAAAAACAATTTTTATTCTATTTAGTAAAAACAAACACCTGCTAATTAACAAAAGATGCTTTAAATATTGAAAAAATACAGTTACAAGGTCATCGTCATGAATGTATTGAAATTAATAATAAAAAATTTTTTGCTTTGTTTTTTTTTTCGTCTCGATTGATTTTTTAAAATCGATTAATCGAAATTATTATAAATTATATTTCTCGTTCGTTTAACCACACATTAAAAAAAAACAAAAATGAAATTTTTAGAATTCGTTGCTTTGGCAGGTAAGTTAAATCACATGTTATATGAAAATTTTTTTTAAAAATAAAAATAAGAAAAACTTTTTTTTTTTTTGTTTTCTATAGTTGCCGCCTTGACAATGGCAGCATCACCGGTGTATTGTGTTGAAGCTGACACTTCACCAAGAAGTTGGGTGGATGGCTACTTTAGACATTAACTAATATCTGGTTGATATCCAAGAAAACCTTTTTGTTTTTATTATAATGAGCAAAACAAAAAAAAATTTTAAATAAAATTATTAATATTTTATTTACATAAATTGTTTTTTATTTTTTTTTTAATAAAAAAAATTTCCTTTTTTTATTTTTTATTAAATCTATGACGCGCTACCGGAAATTAAACAAAAAAAATATATAAATTTATTACTTCTTTATTAAAATAAATTACTTTAATAAATAATTCAAAAAAAAATTTTTTTCTTTCGAAAGTTGGTATCCGTGACGACAGTGAATTATTTCGGTGACTGACCAACCACTTCAAACCACAAAACCGTAGTAAATAAATTGTTTAAAATTTTTTTTTTTTTTTTTTTTTTTGGGATAGGAGGGGAGGGGAGGAGAATTTCGTATGTTGGAGTCCTCCGGTATGGCGTTGCGAAACATTAGGACAATTTAAAATTCGTAAAGAAGGCTGGCCAACTAAATTTTACAAAAATGGCGGATTTCCTTACTTACCTTATGTGTAAATTTTTAACAATGATCGTTTGCTCCGTACCGCTCCGTTGTTGAAATGAAAACCTAACGATAAAAAAATTTTAATAATCATTATTTTTTTAAACCATTTAACTCTCGCCTTGAAAAACGCAAAAAGGAGGGGGAAGGGATGAGGGGGGAAGGGGGGAGGCAAAAAAATCGAGGAAAAGAAAATGTTTTTAAGCAGTTCGTTAAACAAATATTGTTTTTATCTAATTAATTTCGTGTCACGCGTGATTGTTTTTTTTTTTTTTTTTTTTTTTTTTTGTAATACCATATGCGTTTTTCCATTCCATTAATTTCCTTTTTTTTTCTTTTGAGAAAATAATAGTATAAAAATGGTTTGAAACATCCTTTTACTACCATTTCGTAATTTTTCGAAATATCGTTTGTAAGAATTTACAATCAAAATGAAATCTTTATGGTATTGCTGTTTTGTCCTTCTACTCGTCGCCACAGGTAAAAAAAAATTTTATTTTATTTTTTTTAAATAATAATAATAATAATAATGATAATAAATTTGTTTTTTAACTTAGAATTATTTAAAATTAATTTTTTTTTTTGAAAATTTAATCATAGTTGCAGTAGAATGTAAATCTTTAGAAAATTTCTTCGGTGAAACAAATGTTCCATATTCCACAACACGCCCCAGATCAGGGCGAAAATAAAAATTTCGTCGATGTAATAAATTTTGACGTTGATATTAATTAATAAAACGTCATCATTATGAAAAAATTTCAATAATAAATTTGTTCAATATAAAAAAAATTGAATTTTTTATTATAAATTTTTTCCTCATCCTTTTTTATTATGCAATCTATTGATGTGATGTAAAAAGATAGAAATCTCTAATTTCGTGGCAGCAGAGATTAAATATTCTATCAGAAATTATGAGTGGCTAAAACCACTTTGGCAACATTTAATTTAAAAATAGTTTTTGTTTCTTTAGTCTACAAAATAAAACTAAAATGAAGTTCGAGTCTAATAATAACTAACGCATAAAAAATAATTGAGAACCCCCCCCAAAAAAAAAGTTTCTCAAGGAACAATGGAATTCAACAAGGATCATGTGGAATGGTTAACGTTCTGGCTTACCGGAGAGGGGAGACTGAAATATAGGTTCTACCCCCACGAGCGTCTTTCCCCCTCTTCATATAAATCACGCTATTGCGATATGCCCAGGAGTTTTAGTGAGTATGGGTTTCCGGTGAGGCTTTCTTGAAATCCACACCGAGCCCCACACTCCCTCTTCGGAGGGATCAGTACGTATTCTACATTTCTCCTGGATCAAAAAAAAAAAAAAAACCTTAATTATAAATTATTTTAGATAATTCTAATAAAGTAAAATTAAAAAAAAGTTACTTAGGTATAAAAGGCTTGGGGAAGTGACCATCACAGTGCGTTTGTTGTCAAATCTTGAGGAATTGGTCTTAAGTTGTCTTTTTGTCTTAGGCACTCTATACTTTTCGGTCTATTAAATTCGTCAAGCCTGTCCGCAACGAATCAGAAAAAGTGTTACCTGAAAATAATAATAATAATGCGACTTTGATCAATTTGGTTTTTTTTTGCCCAGGAGCAAAATAATTTATTTAGCTTCCAATTAAATACCCATCGTTTATTGCCATCTTTTTTCAAATCCTGCTCGTGATTTCCAGACTCGACTCAAACTGCATTAAAATTATTATTATTATTACTTACTGTTTTTTATTGCGTTTACATGTTACGATAAACAAGGTAACAAATGGAAAAGTCGGATGAAGCGTCTAAACAAAACCGGGAGTGATGGTGACCACCTGTAACCCAACTATTCGGAGACTAGGAATAGAGGATGTTTTAAAGGCGGGGATTCTGGGATTGGATTCTGGGCGGGGATTCTAGGCGGAAATTCTTGGAATTTTCCACGTTGACTAGGCGTCCGCTGGGAGTAAATCTTCAATTTGGATGTCTTGGGGAAATGTCCGAGGTAACCAGGTTGAGTCTGAAAAGGGGAAAAATCGGCCCAAAAGTCATGTGGGTTCAAATTCCGGGAGTGGGAGTTTAATTTAATCTCGTTCAAACAAGAACAGGCCTGAACCTAAAACAAGGGTATAAGTGACGTAGAACCCTTTCGAGACATTGGGGATGCGCTGACCCATGTTCGAAGGGGTGAAACTGGGTACTTGATTCAAACGGGGGAAAAGCAGAGCTGCGATGTGAAAGAAAGAGAGATGATGGACATTCGCGACTCCAGACATCTCTCTCTCTCTCTCTCCCCGGACACTCGCCGACTCTGCGGAAGAGGCAGGAACGATGGTAACAGATTGGGATCGTCTCTCAAAGGGTAAAAAGAGGAAGTACCGGGATCTTCCTTAAGTGGGATTCCTTCCACACTTTTGCGAGTGTGGACCTGATAGTTCTGGCTCAGGAAGGGGTTGAGGCTGAACGTCATCAATCGTCGTCCCTTTTTTTTTCGTATCTTCAAATTTTTGATTAAAAAAAGAAGAATCTAGAAAGAAGAAGAAAAAATAATTATATTAGTTACAGTTCATTAAACAAGTATTGTTTTTTTTTTTAATCAATTAATTTCATGTTATCACATGTAAAAAAAATATTTTACCACACACATTTTTTCCACTTCATTGATTTTCTTTTTTTTGTTTCCTTTGACGTAATTAAAAACAAAGCGAATAAAAATCGTTTATATAGGGGCGCCTACTTCTATTATTTTTTATTAATTATTATTCGATTAACGCTTGCAAACAATTAATAAAAAAAATGAAAGCTTATTTGCTTTTTTGTTTTTTGGTTGTCCTCGCAGTAGCCGCAGGTTAATAATAATTATTTAAATAAATTTTTTTTTTTTTTGTTCTTTATTATTATTTAAAAATAATAATAATAATATTAATAATATTTTTCAGTGTCGGTAGAATGTGGAAAATCAGTTAACGTCGGTAAAGGATCAATGACATCAACTCATCCCTAAACATGGATCACTCACAACATCGGTTGGTTAATTTAAAATCATTTAAAAAATGTAATAGTAATAATAATAAATAAATAAATTTTTATTGTATTTAAATTTTATTAAATCATTATACCTTTAATAATAATAATAATTAATATCTAAAAAGAGTAAACGTCTCAGATATTAACAAGAAAAGCACATATAAACTGGTTAAGGTGTGGTAAGTTAAAGGTTGAAACAGCGGGTCAAGATCAGGCATTGCGGACCCATAACTATGAAAAAGTAATTCTCAAAGTCCGCCAAGATGACAAGTGCCGAATTTGTCAATCACAATCGGAAACCATCGATCATTTAATTTCCGGTTGTCCGATACTGGCAAAACATGAATACTTAAAAAGGCACAATAAAATATGTCAATATCTCCATTGGAATATATGCCGAGAATATGGAATGGATGGATTACCCAAGGAGTGGTACAACCACATTCCAAGCCCGGTTACGACAGTAGGTCCATGCACAGTTCTGTACGATCAACAAATCCACTTTGACAGAACTCTGCCAGCCAACAAACCGGATATCATTCTCAGGCATAATGCGAAAAAATGGTGAAACAGCTGAAGAAGCAGACAAAAGGATGAAATACCCAGGATGTGGGGAGTAAAGTAACAAAAACTACTCCGGTCATCGTGGGGAGCATCATTGGGAGTCATGTCACATTCAATAAAAGGAAATTTAAAGAAAATTTTGAAGAATTTAAACAGAGGAAAAACCATCCAGAAAATCGCACTATGTGGGACGGCCCACATTCTTCGGAAAATATTATAAATGGCACCAACGAAATTCGAGCATTTGTCTCTGAGGAATCGTTGGATAGAAACTGAAATAAATGCTTAAAAACCCCGACAAATAAAATCTTGCCGTATTTAAAATGATAATAATAATAATTATTATTATTAGGATAATTATGAGCGGTGACTGACAGTGAACTTTTTCTAAACTTGAATGCTTTTTAAACAAAACATTAATTTTGAAACGCATTTCGCGCCAAAAGTTCAAACATAAAATACAGTTGCAGGAGAGAGTAAGATTTTAAGTAGAGAATAGAGCAGTAGCTAACATCAGATTGACAAACATATAAAAAGTGTTTGCTGCATTTGTAAAAGACAGAATTAAAAAATAAATAAATTATGTTAATCGCGTCAGCGACCCTTTAAAATGTTTATCTTTCGCAAGTTCGACAACCGCGCAAAAAAAAAACATAAATAAAAAATTCACGTTATTGTTTAAAAAAAGGAATAACAACATTCGAGTGTAAAACGACAAAAAAATTAAAAACAATAATAAATTTTTTTTTCTGCATAAAATTTTTATTTATTTATTTATGTATGTCGTGGAACGAAAACATATTAATTAGTAAATTTTTTTTTTCATCGGAAAAATTATTTTTTTTTTTAATTAACACGATCGGAATCATCGTTGTATAAGTCATGCCTGTGATTTCCGCATTCGGCTGAAACTGTACATAAAAATATTATTATTATTATTAATATTATTATGGTTAATCGTGGGTTTTTAATAAAAAAAAAAAATTATAACTTACCAGCGAATGCGATAAGTGCAAAACAAATTTGCAACAAATATTTTAACATTTTTTTCAAACGGACAACAACAACAACAACAAACAAAAAATATTTAAATCAGAAAAAAAATTTTTAAACCTTTTATTTCATTTCAAAATCAAGGTTTTGTTTGTTTTTGTTTTTATTGTTCACATTTGATGATTAAGGTAACATTGAAAATAAATGAACCGGAAATAATTTGTTTGTTTATTTTTTTCTTTCGAATTATCAAAGGGAAAAAAATTGAAATCGTCCGATGATTAATTTCGATAATGAAAAAAGAAAATTTCATCTCCTTTTTTTCGGCTCCCCCACTGAACGACCAGAGCGTTCCTCACCTTTCGAAGAAAAATCTCCAGAAGGGAATTTTGCGAACCTGCCGTTCTGTTAAGGCTTCACCCCCTACACAGGCCACAACTTTTTATGTGAATCACCAACACCCTTTCAAAAAGAAAAATGTGGCGGAAATGCTTGGTTTGGATCCCCAAAGTGTTTCCAAGTTTCTCATACTCCCACCCAATATTTTACGAGAAAAAGTTCCGGTTGAACAGTTGACTGGAAAAACCTTTTGTGTTTGAAGGGGGGGCGATGAAACCGGAAAAGGTTGGTAAAAAACAATTCAACGACCAAAATGCATAAACTGAAACAACAAAAACAATTAACACCTGTCTGTCCTTTGATTAAAAAAAAGAAAAGAATAATTAATTAAGAGTGGGGAGGAGGGGAGGGGAGAAGCATTCAACAATTTTCCTTTCTAATGAGGAAAAAAAAATACCTGTTAATTAGCAAAAAAATGTTTTTAATTAAAATGTAATAGTTAACAATAGTTAACAAGGTGTGTATGAATGCATTGAACAAAAGAAAAAAAATCTTTTGTTTTTCTTTCCTTTTGTTTAATTTTTCCTTTTTTTTTTAAAAAAATCGATTAATCGAAATCAAAAAAAAAATCGCTATAAATATGATTAATCGTTTGTGTTAACCTCATACATTTTATTCTCATTGAGAAAAAAAAATGAAATTTTTAGAAGCTATCGTTTTGGCAGGTAAGTCATTCTATACGTTTTTCGACATTTTTCTTTTTTTTTTTTTGAATAAAAATTAAAAAAAATTTTTTTTTTTTTTTTTTAAAGTTGCCGTCGTGACAATGGCGGTTAATTATTGGGGTGATACAACACCTAGAAATTGGAGAGAGGGTTG